TCGCATGATCAGGGGACTGCAGGGCAGGCCCTATGAGGAGAGACTACGGGACCTGAACCTGTTCAGCCTCCACAAGAGAAGGCTGAGGGGGGATCTTGTGGCCTGTTACAAACTGGTCAGGGGGGATCAGCAGGCACTGGGGGAGTCACTGTTCCCCCAAGCACAGCCAGGAGTGACCAGGAACAACGGTCACAAGCTGGCAGAAGGTAGGTTTAGGTTAGACATCAGAAGGCGCTATTTCACAGTCAGGGCGGCTAGGGTCTGGAACCAACTTCCAAGGGAGGTGGTGCAGGCTCCTACCCTGGGGGTTTTTAAGATGAGGTTAAATGAACACCTTGCTGGGGTCGTTTGACCCCAGTACTCTTTCCTGCCATGGCAGGGGGTCGGACTAGATGATCTTCTCAGGTCCCTTCTGACCCTAGAAACTATGAAACTATGAAAATGAATACACTCTGATGTGAGCCACAGTCATAGACCCTGCATCTTATGCTTCCTACCTAGAACTCAAATTACTTGCTGCAAGCACAGTATATGTAATATGATTTCTACCTGTGGACAGACTGTCATTTTTTTCAAAATTTGTTCATTAAAAATAGTTTGCTAGATAAGTGTTAGGAACAAATATCAGTTTATGGGTTTAGAGGCTTCTGGCTGTGAGCATTCATTCAAGTCTTCATCATTCCTTTTGTATAATAAAGATGTTTTCTGAATCTGGGGGGGGTTGCATTGCCATTTCATTTTCTGAATGTGTTCATTTTCTGATTTTTGGGGTTTCCTGCATTGAATAGCAATGGGGCCAAGAGAAGAGAGGGAACAAAAATTATCTTTGCACACTTGCATCTGAGTGTAGAGTGCATAGAGAATTGAGAGCCACAAGACGCATCAGATCTACATGCCAAGCAGATTTGAGAACTGGCCTTTTATATGATTTCTAAGGTCTATAATAAAGCCGCATTTCTTAATGCAGTGAAACCCTGCAGTAGTAATTCTAGGGCGGGGTGCTGGGAGAGGCGTCTTATTAGGCCTATGCACGGATCCAATGCAGCGGCTGCAATCCAAACGTTGCAGCAAACTCTGCTGTTCTTTCTGCCGCTGGCTCTGAGCTCTGGTGTTTATCTGAAGGGCACAGGAGGCTGAGTGGTGTTCACATGATCCCATCGACAGCAATATAAATCTGCTTCTGACAGTGGGGCAAATTAGTATGGTGAGAGCTCAATATATTCGATTGCAGAGTGAGTTTCATAAGGGATCCTGCAGGCCGAGGTTAGGAGGGGGCTCAGTGCTACTGGCAACTGTACTTACAAACAAAGAGCACTGAGAGGTTTGAAGTTTTCCAATCTATTAAATGTCCTGAATGACTAAACCCAGCCCATGAAAATTGCACCTATGAAGGGAAAACAGGGATCTGTTCAGTGCCTGCAGAAATCCCCAGTCATCTTGTGCGAGTTATCTGGTGCTCACAAATGGAAAGTGGTTGCTGAAGACTTATTCCCGAGAGAACAACAGTCTGAGGCTCTCTCCCACCCATTCGCATTTTATTATGCTTGTTGCTATTTAATCAAGGCAATACCATCCCCACATCTTAATCAAGGATCAGGGCCTCGTTGCACATTAGGCTAACAAGTCCCTGCTCAGGATATTCCCAAGCTAGGACCATGATGAGGATGACAGACAGTTTAGGGGGTGAGAAAAAGACAGGAACGGTACAAACAACATATTGGGCAAAATGAGGGAGAGCCGCTGTTAATTCCTGCACCCTTCTCTGCTGCTTTTTTTTTTAAATTACTTCTCTAATAATTAGACATTAACATCTTTGGGACAGGGAAAGCTATGAACTACATGAACTGCACCCTCCTGGTACATACTGCCATATGGGGTTGTAGGCACAACCTGTAAAAGATGAGCCCTTATTGCAATCTTCAAGAAATCACCTTCTAAGTAGAGCGGCTAGAAATGTTTTGACTGAAAAGTTTGTGAGATGAAAAAAACAGCTTATTTTATAGAAAAATGTTGTTTTTCTTACAGCAGTAAGATGGTGTCGGTCATTAAGCATGTACATTGCTTCACAGTGAGGTTGGTTTTACATGTAATTATATAAACTATACTCATAACGATTTCTTCACTTCTAGGCATCACTGGCGAAACTGCTTCCCACCTGCAACAGCCCCAGGTAAGCTGCAGACTGTTTTCCTGTTCTTATTTTTACTACTGTAGAGCCTGAACTGAATGGTTTCATGCTTTCCATGCAGATCTTAGTTGAGCTGGCAACACCCTGACTGCTTGAAATATTTGAATTGCTCGTAGTACCTCAAGAAGCAGTACACGAGATGTAGCAGCCTGGCTAAATTCTGATTCACAGGTTTCCATTCGTCCTCCCTAAATCTGTGCATGCGGTAGTCTGTGCTGTCTCTGAGCAGCATTAAAATAACTGCCATCTCTCATCCAAAAATGATGCAGTAAATGCATATATGCATATAATGTGCGTGTGAGCTTGTTAACCTCTTTGGGATGCGGAGTGAAAAGTGCTATAGAAACGCTATAGGGAAGTGCCCCTATAATATCTTTCTCTAGTCTTCTTAATCTTGGCTCCTTCGGGCTCATACGTGGGGTTCTCTTCACCTCGCACAAATCTTTCAGCCTTTTGGTTAAGAGCAAATTTACCTCCAAGGAGTGTGATGATGGGTGGGTGTGTGTTTCGAGAGGGCCAAGAAGCACGAACTCTCAGAGTTTCCAGCTACTCTTGTTGCTCGAGGAATGCAGCCACTAGCTGCATTAGCTTCCTCCACCTGTGTTTAAGCAAACATGTTGCCTTACAGCAGGTCATGGCAGGTAGGATTGCATTGTACAAGAAATTCAGGAGAGAGCTACTTTTCCCAACGTGCATATTGGCAGCAGTCAGTTCCTGAGATCCTCATCTGCAGCCATACGTGCAGAGCCTGTTGTTGAGGTGGAGCCCTGTTACCTGCAGGTGCGTTAGTTGACTGCGTGCTGGGAGAGCAGAAGGCAAAGCGTATGTGGCAGTTTGGTTCAGAAGTTTGTAGCCTGTCTCTTGATTTCCTCATCTCTCTTCTGTTCCTCTCCTTAACCACCCACGATTTTTCCTCATCAGACAAACATCCTTTAGTCCGTCTTATCTTAAAAAACAAACAAACCCACTCCTGATTCTTGCTTCCCCAGCTACCACCTTTTTTTCTTTTCATTGCATGTGCTGTGACCAACTGGTCTGGAGCTGCCCTCCGGTCCCATCCAAGATGCAATGCTCCCCACTCTGGCTTCTAGCTTTTGCTTTGCACTAAAATTGTTTCTGCCAAAGTCTATCACGACCTCTCTTTAGGCAGTTCCCAGAACTGGGTGCTCCTTCCTCACCCTCCTTGAGCTATCAGATATCTTTGATATCATCTCTCCTGCCCCTGTTCTTCATATCTTGGCTTTCCATGACTGTCCTTTCTTGGATCACATCCTACCTCCTTTTTCA